AGAGATAGTGACAACGACATTTGAGAATAATTGTTGAGCTTCCAGGTTCTAGCTCTATAAATGCAAGCTTCTTGGCATTGTTTTTCATATCCAAGAGCATAGAATCTCAAAAACATCAAATAACAATGAAGTCTACATTGTTGGTGTGGTTCTCCTTTCTTCTCTTCGCCTCTGTTCTCTCAGTGCCGTCAATAGAAGCTTATACTGAGCCGGTGCTTGACATTCAGGGCGAAGAACTTAAAGCAGGCGCGGAATACATCATCAGTTCTGCTATCTGGGGGGCTGGAGGCGGGGATGTTTCGGCGACCAATAAAACTTGCCCGGACGATGTTATTCAATACTCGTTGGACCTGTTACGAGGTCTTCCAGTTACCTTCTCACCTGCCAACTACGGAGATGATGTCATCCGAATTTCTACTGATCTTAACATAAAGTTTTCTATCAAGAAAGCTTGTGACCACTCGTCAGTTTGGAAGATTCAGAAATCTTCCAACTCGGAGGTGCAATGGTTTGTGACAACGGGTGGGGAAGAAGGAAATCCTGGTGTTGATACATTAACCAACTGGTTCAAGATTGAGAAGGCTGGTATATTAGGGTACAAGCTAGTTTTCTGTCCTAAAGACATTTGTCACTGCGGAGTTCTATGCAGGGATATTGGGATTTATTTTGAGAATAATAGAGGTAGAATTCTGTCTCTTAGTGATCAACTGTCACCTTTCGTGGTTGTGTTTAAGAAGGTTGGGCCTTTAAGTTCATCCATATGAACGCTGAAGCCTGAAAGTATAGTGGCGCTAAATAATGATGGAATAGGCTAGCTGCAATTGCCTCTAGTCATGTTTCTTGGCTTTTTCTTTCTTTCTAGGGGTCTCAATGGGTTCATTGTCTCTTACTCCAAGCAGAGCTACCTAGATATACCTAGCCAGCTATATGTTTCAATGGATGGATGATGTTTCAAAATAACAACAACAATAATAATAAAATAATGAGACCCTTTTTTATATTTTGTTTATATAACGTTGTGATATGATTTAAACTTAAGGTGGTCTCGGAGAAATTAAAAATGGATTCAGTTTTGTAGAACAGTAAGGCACCTCCATTGATATATAAGGCTAGAAAATATAGCTCGAGACATTCTTTGACAAATTGGAGCACAATTACAAGAAGCAGAATACTTGCACCACATGGCTTGACATAAAACCGAAAAGGAACCAATTAGACCTCCTTCTACGAGATTGTTGCAATCTTATACCTATAATCACGAATTTTGCGGGTGATCAATACGGTCTAATTAAGTTTTTTAATTGTTTTTTTTTAATATTTAATTATTTGATAATCCGAGTTAGTTTAGGTCAGGTTTTTTTCATTATTTTTTTGAATTTTTTTATTAATTTATTTTTTATTATTGTATTTTTTAAGTATCTCATTTAAAGTATTAATTGAACCAATGGTTCGGATGTCAACTTATTTTTCCTTGGCATTATTTTTTTGACTCAGAAAATTTGGCCAGCTACAAATCTAGGTAATTAACTATACCAGATCAATGTGGGATTGCAGAAAATGTAATAAACATTATATATATATATATATATAAAGTCCATCGTACCGGCATAGCTTTCTCCTGCTACGTACAAGTCATTTGATTTACGATGGGGAATTTTCTTGAACCAGTGACTTAAAAAGGCAAGCTGTGATTGACTCCTCCATTCTTTTAAGGTCTTCGGACTAGTTCGTGTAGAAGAAGCCCCAGTTCGCGGCCTCTACGAAGATGATATTTCCAGCTGTAAACTAAAAATATTATTCTATTTTTAATAAATAAAATAAAATAAAATATTATTTTTATAAAATTATTTTTTATTCCTCATTTATTTTTATTGAAAAAATAATTTGGGCATATAAGATCCACCAAAATAATTCTCATAATTGATTTAATATCCAAATACAACATCTCCTTACATTTATCCATCCCACGTCATTCACTCTACCATTCAAACAGACTCAAAACTAAATCTTACATTTTTGCATGATTTCCTTCCAAAAACAAAAATCATTCTAAAATCAAATCCTTAACAAAATTCTCATAAAATTCTTATAATTAAGATTAATATTTTCTTTATTTTTAATTTTTAATATTTAATTTACTAAAAATTTAATTTTTTAATTTTTTAAAATTAACTATTTCAGGTTTAATGATTCAAATCACATATTTAAAAAATTAACATATTTTTTTATAAAAAAACTTTTATAATTTTTATTTTTTATTAAGTTATTTTAATTATATAATCTATACTGCGAGTTTAGTAAAATATTTCACGTTAGCTTAATTTTAATTAACATTATTATATATTTATTGATTTTATTATATGTTTTCTTAACTTTATTTTAATATCTAAATATTATTTTTTATATAAAAAAAATAATTCAGCCTCTAGCGAATTGCGGGCACCGACGCTACTACTATTCTATTATGAGGTTGTGGCCAAACTACAAGCATAACAAATTAAAAGAGCCAAATTAACTAACGTTGGATGCCAAAAGGATATGCCAAAGCGCACGTGTTCTATGTACTAGTTTCTCCATTTCCATATAAATCACGTGGGTCGAAATGCAAATTAGAAGAGATTCATGAACACAAATGAACGATGAGGCGCTCTTCCTGTAATAAAGAAGTAGCAGACAAGATAAGCATCAACCAAGAAATAGTAATTTACTAGTAGTACCAGATAAGATGCTCTGACATTATACTTACAAAATCATTCCCCATGAACACTGCAAGCAAATAATGGTTTTAAAATTAAAAAGGAGAAGAAAAAAATATTGAGGAAATTCATTCTTTAGTGTTGAGCATTCCAATTCCAGCTCCATAAATCCAAGCTTCTCTCCCTTCAGTTTTTGCATCAAATTGAAAAATAAGAAAATCACGTCAAAATTAAATTAATTAAAAATTAAATTTTTTTATTAAACTCTCAGGTATAAAATTTTAGGGATTGTAGGTTTTAAATATTAAATTGAGTTTAAAAGATTTGTGCAAGTATACTTGTTTTTTTTCTTTATTTTTTAAAGCTAATATTTTTTTATAATTTTTTTTATAGTTTTGCTTTATTTTTTTTATGATTTGTCTTTTATGAAATTAATTTAACTTTTATAACTAAAGTCATTAGTTTCTCTTTCTTTTTTATTAGATTATACTGATTATATATCTATGATCACGATATTTATAAGTTAACTTAGATTGATTTAATTTTTTTCATTGTTATAAAGTCAGTCCAGCATTCATGACCACAGTTACTAATTTTAAAGGTGGAGATGATTTTTTTAGATTTTTTTTTAAAATAATTTATTTTAATTTTATTTTTAAATATTTAATTTATTAAAAATTAGTTTTTATGACTTTTCTTTTATTTTTTTATTTTTTTATTAGATTATCCTATGTGCTTACCACAAGCCTGAGACGACTTTTACTACTTCGCAAACTTTAAATCCTTAGATAAGAGCTAGGACGGATTGAATCAAAAGCTTTCTTTTTTTTTTGCTTAGACCGATAAAAGGAATAGGGGTGATGAGGTAAACTAAGTCAAAGGCATTGCTCTTCACTTCCTTTCAAGTAGGGGTAGGCTCGTGACCAAAACATAAAAAGAAGGAATTGCTCTAGTTTTGGATCAAGGTTTTCCATTATGATTATGGGATTTGTAGATTAATTCAAGTTGATTCATATTTGTTTCTATTGCTTTTTAATTTTTTTTTTAATTTTTATTCTTTAATATTGAGTTATTTGATATCCAGCTCCATAAATCCAAGCTTCTCTCCCTTCAGTATTTGCATCAAATTGAAAAATAAAAAAATCACGTCAAAATTAAATTAATTAAAAATTAAATTTTTTTATTAAACTCTCAGGTATAAAATTTTAGGGATTGTAGGTTTTAAATATTAAATTGAGTTTAAAAGATTTGTGCAAGTATACTTGTTTTTTTTCTTTATTTTTTAAAGCTAATATTTTTTTATAATTTTTTTTTATAGTTTTGCTTTATTTTTTTTATGATTTATCTTTTATGAAATTAATTTAACTTTTATAACTAAAGTCATTAGTTTCTCTTTCATTTCTATTAGATTATACTGATTATATATCTATGATCACGAGATTTATAAATTAACTTAGATTGATTTAATTTTTTTCATTGTTATAAAGTCAGTCCAGCATTCATGACCACAGTTACTAATTTTAAAGGTGAAGACGATATGATTTTTTTAAATTTTTTTTAAAATTAATTTATTTTAATTTTATTTTTAAATATTTAATTTATTAAAAATTAGTTTTTATGACTTTTCTTTTATTTTTTTATTTTTTTATTAGATTATCCTATGTGCTTACCACAAGCCTGAGACGACTTTTACTACTTCGCAAACTTTAAATCCTTAGATAAGAGCTAGGACGGATTGAATCAAAAGCTTTCTTTTTTTTTTGCTTAGACCGATAAAAGGAATAGGGGTGATGAGGTAAACTAAGTCAAAGGCATTGCTCTTCACTTCCTTTCAAGTAGGGGTAGGCTCGTGACCAAAACATAAAAAGAAGGAATTGCTCTAGTTTTGGATCAAGGTTTTCCATTATGATTATGGGATTTGTAGATTAATTCAAGTTGATTCATATTTGTTTCTATTGCTTTTTAATTTTTTTTTTAATTTTTATTCTTTAATATTGAGTTATTTGATAATTAAATTCATGATTTTATTTAATTTACTTTTGAATGGGGTTATCCTAGTATCACGATTAGGTCAGAAATTTTGCATCTTGACACGGGTGGGCTCAGATCGAGTTTTTTTAATTATATCTTTTTTTTTAATTTTCATTATTTAGCATTTTATTTGCTAGAAATTAAGTTTCAATATTTTTCCTTTTATTTTTCTTTCTATGAAGTTATCATGTTCTCATTTGATTTAGGCCATGTTTGTTCTAAGGAAAACCAATTCCGGAAATTCATTTTCCTCAATTTCCTATGTTTGGCATCAATATAAAATACTAGTCAAAGGAAACTTAATTCCGGTCAAAACAAAAAACATAACTTTACAAACAGAAAGTGTTTTCCTTTTGATAAGGAAAGGAAAATACTTTTCTTTTTTTCATTACACATATTTTTCTTAAATTCTCAAATCACTGTTTCTCTTTTTTCTTCGTAAACAATTAGTAGGAAGCAGGAACAAGTGAACAAGTGCATCATTTCTCTAGAATAATTGAAGCTCTTATTTCAGGTATTTGTTTTCCTTTATTTTCTTTATATGTTTTTATTTTTTTTCCTTTATGTTTTTATCTTCTTTGTTAGATCTGCAAGAATTATGACATAAATCCTTCATTTTCTTGATAAATCTGCTACCTGTCATATTTTTCCCATAACATAACATAATTTTCTTCTTCATCTTTCCTCATCACATTCGATGTGTTCAAAACAACTCAAATTCATCAAGCAAACCATAAAAAGCACATGTTTTCCAGTTTTCCTTACTCACATCCTATAGAACTGGCAGAACCAAATAAACCACAAATCAAAGCAAAATCAGTCAAAGCAAAATGCCCAAATTTTCCTAGCAAAATGCAGTCACTACCCTATTTACCCGTCCCCGGATCCAACCACTATATACTGGGTGGAAGCATAAAGAGAGAGAGGCAATGTGTAGAATTGGAATTAGCCACCATATCAAGGAATTAATCAACCCTTGCTCGTCTTTTTTTTTCAAGTCTCAGTAAAAGTAGTCAGGGGAGAGAGGGAGGAGAACTAGGAAGGAGGAGCGTGTCTTTGAGGTATACCCCTCTTGCCAATTGAATCTTCGATCTTTGTCCTGTTTTTTTTTTTTTTGCATAAAAAGAGGAAGTTAAGGAATTAGATAAAGAACAGGGGAATGACGAGAGAAACCGAGA